ACCCTGGCAGCTGTCCCAGCGTGACTGTGGTGACTGGTAGCTCGACTTATCTCTCCCCCGTGCCCGCTGTGACCGCATCTGGCTTCAGCAGCGTTGCTGGAATTCCTGGTGGCTGCAACCCAGCCCACCCTGGAAGCTGTCCCAGCGTGACTGTTGTGTCTGGCAGCTCCACCTACATGTCCCCTGTGCCTGCTGCCACCTCCTCTGGCCACTTCTCGGGCAACCTGACGTAAGTACACATGATGATATCTACAACTTTGGACACTGGGGGAACGTGATACTGATTGAATACTATCGATATAGTTCCTCCAGCCTTAACCCCCTGTTCACCGGTGCTGCTTCGAACAACCAACTTCACTTCGGCGCTCTCCTTACCGGTGTCGTTGCTCTCGCTGCGCGTGCTTTCTTCTAAATGGCTATACCTGGTGCCATTCGATGGTCAGAATGGTTGGAAGCCCATTAGGATATATTGGTTAACAGTTTTTACTTTTCGCCGTATTATAGCTCATATTCACTTCGATACACCAATTGGTGACATTTGTAATTGATTTGATAAAGAATAGCAAGATTTCACGCTTCTATTGCTGTTGTGATAACATAAGCTCCAGCCCAGCAAGGGCAACTACATTCATGATATTTTGTATACTTGTTTGCATTTGACGACAGTATTTGTTGCCGTATGAAATGTGGCTATCCTTGGTATTGTGTATGCATCAGTCTCGTATATTCAATATCCTATAACCAATCTGTTCAATACAACAGCCAAGACGGCATGTATTCGCAGTTCTACATATGTACAATATATGTTTTACACCTACCAGCAGGTATATTCCTTCCGTACCTCAAACCAGTCAAAAGAGTACGTCACCACCAATCACTCCACCGCGTGCCCTGGTATATAGAGGGAACCTGCGGTCCTTCGGCATCCACGATATAACCCTCCTCACACCACCCGTACTCGACCTTAACCTGCTCATCATAGAACACATCAAAGACATCACCCAGAGCATCACTCAACGTTTGGACGTCACCAGCAGGGTGAAGCACCTCCCATGGCCTCACACAGGTGACTCCCTTACAGGATTTCAGAACGAGCAGCAGGGCGTCTAAGCGAGAGATCACCTTCTCAATTGGATATCCCAGCAATTGCTGCTCGCTGTTGCCGGACACAGAGGGATGGAGATTATTCAGTTCATAGGGGTCGGTCTGTTCTTCAATGAGTGATATAACCTTGAAGAATAGACGCCAATGCAGGATACTCACCGTTAGATCATACAGCTCATGTTCATTCGTACACCATACGGAGTAATAGAGATTATAACCATGTCCCAAAACGCGGAGAGCCTTGTATGTATTGTTCCGGAAGGCAATCGGGCCTCCATCCGCTGGGGCCAGACATCAGCAAAACAACTAATGAAAGACAAAGCTATAAAAAGCTTACGCGCACGGCTCATCTCGCCTTCAAATCCCGCCTTCCCCCAATATTCCACGTTGACATGCTCGTGTCGACTCTTCGATGATTTCTCCTCTAGGACTTCCCTTTCCGTCAGCGGTACGGGAGTACCATCAAATTCTTCCTTGAGATCCAATCCAGCTATCTCAAAGATAGTGGGTGCTAAATCGATATGGGTAGTCACGAAGTCGACCTCCCCACCAATCGGGATACCAGGCCCTCGAATGAACATGGGCACACGGATATCCTCCTCAAAGCCACATTCCTTGCCGGGGTGCAATCGGTGTTGGCCGATGTGATAACCATTGTCGGATGTATAGAAGATATACGTATTATCGAGGACCCCTGCATCCTCTAGACGCTGGACAACCTGTTCGACGATTTCATCAACCCCTTGAAGTGCGCGGAGACGGGAGCGATAGAACTCGTCATTCGAATCGATACTGCTCTGGTCTTGCTGGGGGAGAGTACTAATCCAGTTGACTCCGCTGGGCTGGTTTGATGATTAATCCTCCAGCTAAGCTTGGTTTGACAACAGTTGAGAGATAGACCTACCGTGTCCGGATTAAAATGCTTTGTCCGCGGCACCTTCGCGTCGGGGAACAGATCCTTGTGCCGTTCCAATGGGATCGGCGCTGAGAAGCGAAACGTCGTGTAGTCGCTCGCATTGGTCATTTCAAAGTTAGAATGCGGCGCGATGGGTGCAATGGTGAGAAAGAAGGGTCTTTCGTTGCTCTCTGCAACTGCGTCATCGAGCAACCCGAGTGCTTTCTTCCTGAGCACGTCGATGGTGTGCTGTCCTGCGTAGGAGATGGGCGGGTCGTGGTTGCGTTGATATACCGGGTTGAGGTATTGGTAGGTGTATGGATCCAGAACGAAGTCGGAAGCATTGAAGCCTTTGGCAAATGGTAAATTGTAGTTCTCTACCGTGTGCGCGTTGAAGAGCTTGCCGGTGTAGTAGGTATTGTAGCCGGCGTCTTGAAGCCACAACGGCAGCCAGTTTTCATTGTGACCTTCTGAGACGAATTTCGGATATCCCCCTGAATAAATATGTAAGCGTAGCGATTGTCTTCATTGCACTAATGAAACGTACCATATGGTGGATAGATCTCGGTGACATTGGTATTATGCGCCTGTTTTCCGGTCCACAGACTCACACGGGACGGACAACACAGTGCTGTTGTGACGAAATGATTCTTATAGAAGACTCCCTGGTCTCTGATGTAGTGGTTCGTATGCGGCGTGTAGGACAACGAGTCCATTTGCAGGTCTTGATCATCTACTAAAATAAAGACAATGTTCGGACGACCGTGAGTGGCATTTTGGTGGGTGATCTCCGGGATATTCCCAGCGCCGCCATCTTGGACGCGAAGAGGCGCTTGATCCAGGGCCAGCGCCGAGGCGGCCAGAATTAAGTTAGCAGTCAATATCCTCATGGTAGCCACGTGGTGGTAGGCATCGGCGAACAATGCGAGAGAGATCATGGCTTATGTATTCTGATTGTTATCAATCTAATGCGAGGCTAAAAGCACGCCATCGCGACATCCGATGGCAGCATCTCATCCACACCGGAATAAGTGCCGAATACGCAAAGACCCATGCTAGTACAGGCATACTGCCCCAGGCTGTCTTGTCGATCGGTGATTTTCTTTTGCCAATCGCAGTGTCGTCGTGGGTATGTAAACTTCATACGGGCCTACGCATGGACCAATACCTTATGTGAACCAACACCAGGCCCTAGATGCTGGACTACCAATGCATTTTAGTAATGTAGCACTACACACTGTCTCGTCCTGATAATCAACCTTCTCCTAATATCAACGAGCCTGAGGTTGCAATCTCATTGTTTGCTTCAGCCATGGTCTCAATCCGCTTGCCAGGGTTCGATGAAGACATTGCGAATTCTAGAACACTCTGCAAGTCCAACCTCTCGTACACAACACCAACAGGCTAAAGACGTTACCAGAATTATAAGCACTCCAACTTGCCGTTGGTACTATTGAGTCATTCCCCAAGGTTAAATAATCACCAAACAGAATTCCCCACTCCAGGTGCACAGCCCCATAAGGCTGACACCATGCAACACAGCCTATATAAACCAGCACCAGCGCCATCCCCATCAAACACCGTAGTTCCCCAGACAATACACAAAATGACATCCCATCCACCAACCCCTCGAAATGCAGAGACAGCATTTATCTCTGGCCCTGTCGACACAGGCCCAGATAACACCTACTTCCACACCCACTACGTACCCCGGATCAATGCGGCCATCGACCGAGGACATCGCTTCGTGATCGGCCCCGTCACTGGCGTAGACAGGGCCGCCTTGGACTATCTCCTTGCGTATCCTATCCCTCCATCACACATCACGATCTTCGTGACTCCGACTGAGAACATCTTGATGGGCGATGAATTCCGCGCTCGTGCAGTCAATGTACATGTTGTCGATGGCGGTTTGAACATGACAACTCGGGAGCGCGATGCGGCGATGACGAGGGCTAGTTCTTATGATATTCTCCGGTGGAGGTCGAGGGCGGAGTCGAGGGAGTTCTACGGACAGTTGTACAGGGAAGGGTATGTTACGAATACGGAGATGAATTGGAGGCGGCGGAGAGGAATTAGTGAGACGGAAATCGTGAGGGAAGAAGATGTGTTTCACCTACACAGTGCAAGTTAAAAAAAAGGAAGGAGAGATACATGTTCCATCCTCTCCATTATACCATTTACTGTGAGTGAAGAACATGAATCGGGGCAGTAGCTGGGAGTAGCTAATCTACTCTTTTGATGATCCAAAAAAATATGTCCCTGGCTTACAAAGAAAATACAAATCTCAATACACACGAAAGACTGAAAAGTAACGGAAAGACTCTCATATGCAATCGTTGTCTTATTAATTGATGTTTGTTATATGTGACAAGTTAAACCTTGCGTAGCAATACCCTAGGGCTGGATAAACAGGGCATCATTTTGATCCTACGATGATGCCTTCGTCCTAAACATAGGGCTGGTTTTAATAAACATAGCGAAACTGCAAGAGCTCCTTATCGGTCTTGTCAAGGATGGTAGCATCGAGAGGTTCGAAAGAATCGCCACTATCCATATGTCCAAGGCGATCCCGACGATTATTCTCCCAGATAAGATAGTACCTCAGACAAAGGGACAGTACAAGCGAGATGACAAAACATATTAACATCGCTAGGAAGCCCGATGGATACGACGGTTCTTCATCAGGGAAAAATAGATGCGGTCCAATGATATTTCCGGCACAGTATCCGATAAAGACCTGAAAGCATTCAGTATATAACTTTTCACTGGAGAGAGATGATGCAAAGGGGGGGGCGCGTTTGTACCATAGCGTTCACCGTGGTCTTCTTCGTGAACCCTCCAATGTTGCCCGTCGACATTGACAGCGTCAACGGAAAGTTTACGGCGTAAGCGCCTGCCAGACAGTACCCGATAAATCGAGCCCAAACATTATCGGGGGATATCTGCCGAGCCATAGCAGCTCCAACAATCGAAAGGGCCGAGTTCCATACCATCCAATACGTTCGGCTGTTGTCAAACCAAGAACAACCGGCCGTAGAGAGATAGACGAGGACACCCTGGACCACGTAGGTTATGATCTGAACAAGCAGTGTATTCAGCGTGCTGAAGCCAAACCCTTCAATGATGATCGAGCCGAACTGGTAGGTCCTTTGTCAGCGCCGTGATATCTTCGTTGCTTTTCTTATCGGCTTACATTGGACACCCCACCATTGGGAATGGAGCAGCTGATTTGGATGAGGACAAAGGCCCAGCATTTCAAGTCACAAAGTGCCTCAATAAATTGGTAAACCTTGAATTCATCATTCTTGATGCCAGTCATATTCTCCTGGACTCTCAAAACGGCCTTGTGTCGGTCATCTTCCCCGAGAAACCTTGCGTTCATCGGGGTGTCTGGAAGCCAGTAGAGAAGAATAAAAGCCCAGACAATAGTGATGGCGCCAAAAATGAGAAACACGGCCTAAGGAAAGTCAGAACATAATGCAAGGACTGAAAGGACCAATGAATAAGTGCCTGGAAACGTATCAAGACATCAACCATTCATACCTTCCATGGAGCGAACGATTGCACATGACCAATCCCGTACGCAACCAGCCCGCCAAAGATCCCCGCGATAGTGATTCCCTGGAACCAGATGCCATGGCGAAAGGGTTGTTCGGATCTTTTGTACCACATGGAAACAACAATGCTGAGACCGGGGGCAATAGCGGCTTCAGTTACACCGAGGAAAAAACGGACCGCGATGAGACCTTGGCTGCTGAACACCGTTGCCGTCAGCATCAACACGGCACCCCAAACAACACTGGAATTGAAGTAAGCATCTCTCCACGAAAGTATAACGGAAGGAAGCCAGCAGAACACGCACATCGATGTAGAAATCATTTTGCCAACGGGGAACCGAACCAGCAAGACCGCGGCAACATAAGACGCAGCTAAGTAGCCGAAATAGTAAATACTGCTGGCCCACGAGTAATCCTCTCCTTGAAGATGCAGATCATCGGTCAAACCCAAAATGGATGTGAAACTCATAGCCGACTTGTCAAGAAATTGGAACATGTATGAAACCGCCATCATTGGGAGAAGGCTGGATTTGTGATGAGCGAGGGTCGCAATCCTGTGGCATATAAGACATCACTTACTAGAGGTCAATCCGGCGCAGAATCCTCTTGTCCTCCTCCAGAGTAAGCGATTGCACATCGAGATCTCCTAGCTCAACATCCTTGAGAGTTTCCTGTGGACATGATACCTTCGGTTCAATTGGTTGGTTGTTGTCGGCCATACTGTGGGCAAGGTTTGACTTGGTTAAATGCAACCGTTGAACTGGGGCTGAAGCTACATTGAAGGAGACATTATATATAGACAGAACGACTGGAGTGCCGCTTCAAGGCTCTTCGTAACCTTTTCCCCGCAATTGAAGGACAGTACTGGATATGGAATGGCCATAGCGCCACGAGCGAAAGATCTTGTCCAACATGTATGGAATAAGCGACAGTCGGCTATTCCGTCCAAGCGGTGGTGGTTTAAAGTTTAGACTCCCGGATTGTTCATGAAACGAAATCCTAGAGAACAAACAAGCCAAAATCACGAGATGGAGAGATACCCCGCACCTCCACACGTTCCCCCAACTTGCTTTGCACATCAACAACATGAACCAAGAACTGATATGCTCGTTCGAAATTCAAGCCAAATTGACGGATGGCACGGAATCGGCTGAGGACCCACTCCCGGTGGAGGTGGTCATTCGTCTCCAGGGCCACCATGAACAATGGCCACGCGATGCGCACCATGGCCTTCTCCCCGTCGTATTTGTGCGCCTGGAATGCCAGATTCATGATATGGCGTAACGAGTCGACTTGCTGCGGGGTCCGAGATTGACTGAGACCCGATCGGACGCGGAGAAAATAAATCAGCACGGCGTAAAACAGTGGCACCACCCGGCGGAGATTGGCAACAAGCCGGTGCGAGTTGTCCGTGGAGGCAGAAAGCCCCGCCGCGACTTCAATTAAATCGCAAAACTTATTGCGGGTGTTCTCGATCGAAAGCTCAGTGTCGGACGCCCACCGCGTCGCCGCCTCGGTCCTACCGTCCTGGAATTTAGCCAGCTGTGCTACCATGAATCGCAGTTGAACACATGCACCCTCTAAGAAGAACACGTTTCGATTTTCAACGTCATCCAGTAATTCGGTTTGGGGGTACCCATCGCCCCACACGATCCGGTACAGTGGGCTAGAGTAATGGTGCAACTGCTCGAATTTCTCCAACGGCTGACTGTAGTGACCAGCCTGCCCGTCAAGGGTAGTCGTGCTCATGAGTTCGTATAGGGTGGCATGTAGTTGACTGTCCAATCCATAGGAGGCCGCCGAAGTGTCAAAGTTAACCATCCACATTAAGAGTCGGGCAGCATAAAGGGACAGGTGGCGGTTTGGTGCCAGCCTATGGGCATGGGAGGAGAGAGCCCATGGTTGATGTGCTCGAGCAACGGGGGGTAAAAGGCTCATCTGGTCGCTGTATTGTTGCTTGAGGATCTGCGCGGCACCGTTGAGGTGGTGAACCAGTCCAGCGCATTGGTCGTCACCGTATTTTTGTTCATAAAACAGCATGAGGTACAATGCGGTGTAGATCGAGTCGAAATTGAACCGGTTGGAACTTTCATTTCCGATGACTTTGGCCATCAGCTTCAGGGCATGGGAGTAATGCCACAAAGGAGAACCGGCTCCTCGCCCTAGTAGTTCATGTCCGCTCTGTAGATTCCTCTGAAACTCCATCTCTCGCCCTCCCACCGCCAGCACCATGTGCATCACGACCGGATTGACCTCGGCGACTTTGAACATGATGGAATAGAGAGAGTAATCCGGATTCTTGGTGTGGTGTAGCTTGGCAAACGTCGTCCGGAAATAGCGGATGGCCTCATGGTCGCTCGCCGTGAGTGCCACCGAGGACGTGCTGGTCGCGGGCACTGGCATGCGAAAGGTCGAGATGGATCTTGCTTCGTCTTGCCTCAAAAATGACTGGAACCAATCCCTGGTGGGCGACGTTTGGGGCGCGGTGTCCGTACCGGCTGTGTCTGCAGCAGGGCGCCGGCGCTGTGACTGGACGATCTGCCGTCCGATCTGAAATGCCTTCCGCCGGGGCGTATAATCGCAGAGAAGCTTCAGCCGCAGACATCGCCGGCATTGTGGCCTTCCCTCGTCGCACTTGACCTTTTTGGTCCGGCAGGTCCAGCATCCACTGCGTGACCGTGGCGCACGTCGCCCCTCGGATGAGCGGGGAGCAGACGGCGAGTCCATGTGGTCATATGTACCAAGGGCTAGTAGAAGGATGGATGCAAGGGTCAATCTCGACTGACGCTTGGATAATAGCAGCGACGAGACAGAGGGAGGGATTCGTGTCGAAGTGCGTGGCCGAAAAGGCAGTCTCCACGAGCCATACGCAATGAAGCTAGTGAAACTTTGCCGCTTACCCCGGGTTTACGCCCCAATCAGCAATGACGGGATATCTGGGTAGCCGACAGTCGCTTGGTCGAGCTCCTGCGGCCACTGAGATAGACTCATTGAGATAGCCGGCGGTCGGCTAAAAGGGGACGTCATGTACGTACTTCGTCTTGGAAGTAGCACATCTGATAGATGGCTTTGACTGAATCCACGCAATGAGGCACGCTGTGGTCATTCCGGCAGCAAAGCAGACCTCCTTTAAAAAGGCCAGCCGTATTCCACTCCGTTCATGCTCTGCCTCGCAGCCTGTCCTCACTCACACACACAGGACATTAGCCTTCACCCAAGCCCAAGATGACTGAGGTCAAATGCAGTGACGAGGCTACCGGCATGCCGACTGATCAAGTCATCAGAGCAGCCCGTGCCATCATCGGCGCTCAGCTTGACGACTTGAGCCCATCTCTGCGCACGGACGTCAACAAAGTCATCCACGACAATCCAGAGCTGGGATATACGGAGTTTATCGCCCACGATACGCTCTCATCCTATCTGGAGCAGCGTGGATTCAAAGTCACGAGAAATGCATATAATATCGACACGAGCTTCGAAGCCGAGGTTGGGAGTGGGGGCCGTCTAGTCGTGTTTTGCGCCGAGTATGATGCCCTTCCTGGTATCGGGCACGCCTGCGGTCACAACCTCGTCGCCACGTCGTCTCTGGCCGCCTTCCTGGGAGCTGCTCGCGCATTGGTAGACCTGAAGATCACAGGGCGTGTGCGCATTCTTGGTACGCCGGCGGAAGAAGGGGGCGGAGGTAAGGTGAAGCTCATCGAAGCCGGCGCCTTCAGCCCCCCAGAGGTTATTGCAGGAGCCTTCATGATACACCCAATGTCCAAGGAGTCGCTCAATTTAGGGGACTTTTCCGGACTCGCGGGATGGAGACTGATTGCGAGCCAAAAGCTCCGTGTCGAGTTCAAAGGCAAGACGGCGCATGCGGCCGGTGATCCGTGGAATGGTCGTAACGCGCTAGACGCAGCCGTTGCACCTACAATCATGTGGCATTGCTACGGCAGCAAATCGAACCGGACGCACGCATCCACGGCGTTTTTGAGGACGGCGGCGCTGCACCGAACGTCATCCCAGAATACACGCGAATGAGCTGGTGCATTCGAAGTTCAACAACGAAGCGATCCAACGACCTATTAGATCGTGTCAAGAAATGCTTCGAGGCTGGTGCCGCGGCTGCGGGATGCTCTATCAACTACATCCCGTGAGTAATATATCCTACTGTTCTAAACTTTCCAGGCCATACACGACTAATTATCCTAGGTCTCCCACATATATGGACCTCCGTGTAAACGATACACTCAGTGAAACGTATGTCAAAGAAATGGCCGCGGTGGGCGAGACTATCATGCCTCGGGAGGCTCAACCGAAAGCATTTGGCTCGACGGATATGGGCAATGTATCCTATGTGGTGCCCAGCTTCCACGGCGCTTTTGCCATCCCGGTATCTTCGGGCGTCGCTTGCCATAATCCAGATTTCGCGACGGCGGCTGCAACGGAGGAAGCTCATACCATTGCAATCAAATCGGCCAAAGGGTTAGCAATGCTAGCTATTCGAGTCCTAGTTGAAGATAAAATTGCTCTGGCCGCGAGGAAGGACTTTGAAGCCAGTTAATTGTGTATATACTCCGCTCACCAGTGCGATCGCAACGTAGCCTACTACTAAAGCTTCCTAAGCTCTACAATTGCATTACAGTGCAAGATAATACTTCAATTTTTGTGAACTTGGCATCTGCATAGATAATATGATTACTCTCTACATGGTTAAGGAGCTTTTGCATTTTCTGTGCTCCAGATATGATAGATTCGGTCCAATAATAACTTACAGACGTACTGAAGCAACATTCTTGGATACATCCAGCGCAGATTTTGATATAACTGCATCATTGCACACCCCATTGGCACCGCAGCAGATGTAATGTCCGTCCAGGTATTGCATGCAGGGGCTGAATCTAAGGCAGTAACAACTCTGATCAGCGCAACAGCTTGCGCCGGCTCGCATACATGCTGTACCGCAATCTTCCAAAAGCCCAGTCTGCGCAGATAAGAGCGAGGTATATTAAGGCAGCCAACCAGTGTGGTTTGAGCATTTAAGAGGAGAGCGAATGCTCTATTAAGCAAAATAGGTATCTAAATCATTTAAATCTAATTAGACCTTGGTTAATGGACTGGCAGTACTCTCTTGTCAAAAATATAGAAAATAAGCTCACGGAAACGTTACAGGATAGGGATATATATGACAAGCGGAAGCCTTTAGTTTCAATCGCAAACTCTTCTTGTGAGCTTGACAATATTATACAATAGCCATGCGGCGACGAAGGCATAACGTTTTACGTCCTACAAGCTGAAGTCTAGAACCTGAAAGATATTGCGTAAGGAAGTCATGAATTCGTCATGGACTGATCTAGGTGCCAGAGCGTCATCGCGCCTACTATCATGCTTTATGATCCCAGTGTTCCATCCCACATTTTGCTGGATAGTTCCATAGAATGATTTTACTTACTGTCCTATGCCCCAGTACCTCGGGGATTAACTGTACATCGCAGTTCTTCGCCCGCTGACGAGCCCGATTTTAGTGTTCCCACATGTACCCGTCGCACAGTGTATGTGGCAATGTATCTGCTCCTGTGCCTCAACTATGTCCTAAGGCTATCATATCTCGTTTGATTACTACCTAGATATTAATTGATCTTCCTACTTTGCTACCACCGCCCCTTTTTACTTTCTCTTAATCTCTCTTACTCTTGAATCTCGGATATATCATGGGTGTCGGGAATGCTCCCAACTTCCGAACACCTAATCCCATGGTTGTTGGAAACTGGCCACCTCGTATCTTCACGGATTGGGTTTTGGGTATCTACTCCTTTCTTTCACTCACGTTCATACATACTACTTGCCTCTGGTGGCTATCAATTTCCTAATAGCCAAAGCCTAGAACCGACTCATAGCTTGTGCTAGTCCAATGCCAAGATAGAATAACGTCAAGCTTAATTGCGCGGCATGAACCTCTTATTTCGGTTGTTATCCGCAAACGGCTCCTATCTGCCCAGTCAGGGCCTAGACCACCAGACACTACAGATCATAAGATTTGTCTGTATTGATCACTTGTCTAACCCCCCAGGCTTGGCAATTCTATCTGGAGTGCCTATCTGGTGGTGTGATCTGAATGAGAAGTTTATTCTATGGAATCAGCTAGTAACGATGGAGAATTCTATGGTTGGGGTAACCTATGCTGACTCTCACTTCAGGCATAAGTAGCATGGCCTCCAGAACCAAAGCAACACAAGTCAGACCTTGTAGACTACAGACACCATTCTTTTCAATCCTGTGTCCTATCTCAAACTTCGACTGATTTCGATTTAAAGAAGATGCCTGTCCCCCACTACGGCGTCTGGGCTTGTAAACCCACTAGGTATACCGTTGATGGACCGTACGATCCCACTCCACACATCCAGCTCTTTTTCACCGATGACTCCTCGAGTGAGCGGAGGGCTGCAATCAATATCAAATCTAATGGGGCAGAGTCTCGCCTCGTATTTTGGTCTTCTGATAACTTCACCCATTCCATCAGAGACAGCCTCTCAGACCTGGACCTTGGTTTTTATCTAATCCAGGATTCCCACCATTATCGTTACCCACACCATCATTTAGAAGACCCTCGTATACATGGTGTTGACTTTTATCGCATGAACGGCCTTCTGGATTTCCAATCGGCACTGGTCTTGCCACACGATATTCCGGGCCGTGACAATGATATCCTGGACAAGATGAGGCCCATTCTTGATAATGCGATCGACAACTCCGCAACGATTTATATTTTTGGTTCGTCATTTGGATCTGGAATCCATAATATTCACATGAACCAGGGCAGTCTTCCTCGGTATGATAACGGTGTCTACTCAGATGGAGCTCTGCTGTTCCAGTTCAACGACGGACACTGGGAAGCCGTATTTCTCGCCTTTGCTTCACAGAAACTCCCAACTGACGATAATGGACTGGCAGCACCGGGAAGTAAGAGTCTATTGCAAATGCTTCAGCAGGGTAGCCGATTATAGTTGATATTTTAGGGCTCTTGGTAAAAAGTATAGGATTAGTTAATCTCTTTCCTGTGAACGTCACTAAATTGCTGTAACTCATTTTCTTATGTTATGCTACATTCTCGTATGTATGGTACAATTTATCGGGAATTCTAGCTTTACTTGCTGATGCTTGTTGCTGATTTCTATCCCTTTCCCTATATGACGACACGGCCATGCAACTGTATGGAACATACCTTGATACCGACGCACCAATTCAAACTTTGCGTACTATTCGGGAAGAGAAGAGTTGCGTTAAACATAAATCGAGCTACCGTCTAAAGGTTCGGGGGACTGGCTAGTGCGATATCCTGGGCCACAATACCCTTTTCGGGTTCTCTGCCTTGGCTAACTAAAGGATGTCACAGGAATTTATTGTGCAAGAAGTCAAGGTTATGACACTTTTGTTAGATGGAGCTTCTGGCAGAGTTCAGCTAGGCTACCTACGTTCATCAATTCTTTTACCATCTGTGTAACGAACGTCCGATCTGTTTTACTGTGCAATTGTGCAGTAAGGCTAATGATAGCCCACTGTAAGTATTTGCAATTGGAAGCCCTTGTGACTTTCTGATACCCTCCCCATATAGATTCCATAAATCTCAGAGTTGTGGTCGCATCGCTAATGGCCGCGAAAACAGTAAGCCCTACTGTAATTCTCTGCCTCGTTGCCATCGGGAGAGTATAAACACAGACTTTGACGAGGAAACTGGACAGATGCCAAAACTCATTAGTTATTCACTCGCCAAAGGTGAGACATACGCCCTGCATGACTTACGTGTTCTCAAGATGTGCTTAACAAAACTCCATTACAGCCTTCACCTGGCTAACCATGGAGACTCTCATAAGCCGCTGTGATAAAGCTCCTGAGCTCAATGGCCAGATGCTCATTGTGTTTGTCGAAGAGAATCTGAGGTGATGCCGCAGGGAAGATAATTCACATTCCGGGATCGAACCCATCTTCTCTGTCTCGGAACTCCCGGAAGCCGTAAAAAGGGTGGTTCCGTCCTCTAGAGAGCAAGTCACAACGAGCTTCTTGTCATATGCAGGATCGCCATATTCTATATATATGGCCTACCCGTATTACGGGCAATCTGAACCGCTTTGCATCGAATTAGATGGTTGTCGTATACTAATCAGATGCATACCCACCACCATCACCAAATGCGGCACCGCATTCCCGCCACGTTGTTTTTGATAGGAAACGGGTATAAGGGTTTGTGTGGGTCTTCCTCTGTGATAGCGAGGTGTCTCGATAAAGACAGATGGCTGAGGAGCCTTAAGAATATCTGTAGCTCGCAGAAACCCCCCTAAATAGGGGCTTGACCCTTGTTGTAAGGCACCCTTCAAACCGCCCTCCATGTCATCCGCCACGTCACGTGTACAGTAAGCAAGAGATAGATGGAAAGCAACCCTGCCCCCATGTAGCGTGTTAGTTCCAAATATTCTCAGTAGCACAGAGTGTTAAGTATCAATAATCCCTTAGGCATCTCGCACGTCAGGATCTTCGGAGCTGCGAGAGTCATAGGGCTCCTTGACGGATGCAAGGGACTCCGGGGATTCAGAGCTGAGATTGACGGAGAGGCTATCCATGTCATGGATAAGACTCTGCAAGCCTTGGGACCGATAAGCAGACCATGGGCTCGAACTCGACTTCGGTTGAGTAGCCACTTGGTGAACCACATAATCGGCCGCCAGGGATGAGATGTCCGTCACCGTCCACAGATCGCCCTCGTTGAGTTTCCTGAAGATCTCCACGACCCTAGAAGGCACGAGAGATGGGTCCGGATTGCTCTGCTTCAAGACCAGTTCGATCGTCCGAAGAAATGCGGTACATAATCGGCCCCACCCTAAACTCATGTGCCACAGGCCCACGACGCAATCCTCTAGAACATAGCTCCACATCGGGTCATAGGCATTCAATTTCGAGATTGAGTGAACCCCTGCGACACAGAAATAGTGCAGCATGACAACCGGGAGGGATTTCCACCCATGACAGCGTTTGAATAGCAATATCAAGGAACCCATGGCATCCAAAGCCTGCGACACTATTGTGTATGGATCAAACTCTTCTGGATTCGGAATCTGGTCATCCGTCGAGCCCAAGTTTGCACAAAAGATCTGGCAGAGAGATGCAATCGTTGCATAGTAATATTCACTACAATAACTGTCAGTCACCTCAACCGCAACGAGGTGAAAAAGGGTGACGAACTGTAAGCAGATAACATGCGGGGTTATATTTTGTTCAAGTAGAAGAACAGGCGGCAAGGTGGCCTTCCACTGAAGTAGCTTTTGATGCAATTGGTGGCCGTACTCCCAATCCTCATTTCCCATGACCGCATCTGGAAACTGAAGGGCAAATTTGGCAATGTGATGAACTATAGTAACAAGGTCAGACCTGAAGCACGCCGCCGTGAAGAAGAATGGCTGGGAAATAGGAGTGGTAAACGGATAGGGACTCCATTCAACACCTGCATCTAATCCTGCCGCTTCAACTGGGGAGAATTTTACGGGCGGAGGCTCTTTCCAGGCTGGTACCTTTCTATAAACTTGAGAAGCAAGGCTGTGTGGAAGGTTAGTAAGAAACAGTTCGAAGCCGGCATGTACTTTTCTCACCCTTGAACATCGTACACTGCCCAGGAAACTAACTTATGGCACCTAGCGAGCCGTCCATCTTCATCTGGTGCATCGTCATAAAGGTATGAGGGATACTCATGCTGTAGACCTAAATTTAGGCACAGCTGAGCGCCATGCATTATATACTGGGTGCCGAATCTGTCTAAGCCGAACGTGCAGCAGAGTAGTCCAATCAGTATGCTGGACTGCGCAGTAGGAAGATTCTCGATATGTTTTTCGATCTCCCATAGACGCTGTATTTCGGCATATAATTTCTTGCTAAGTAGCTTTTCTTCTCGTCGATCTGTGATCCTATCTAGATTGTAGGATAGACTCTGAGCTCCGGGTTAGTGTCACTCCTCTCCAGTCGCTGGCCACACGTACACAGCCAAAAAAGAGTAATACGGTAACCAATAATGCGGAACAGAACTTTCCGTGACCACCTTCGAGGTCATGGAAAAACATATCCTTGTCAATCAGTTGCCAGGTCGGATTCTCCCACGTAAAGTAAAGTGATAATAGATGGCTCGCAGTGTCATTGTTCGCCAGCAAGGTCCAACGATGAATTTCGGTGATCTGGATGGGTGGCTTCTGCGCAAGTGGTTGGGTCTCACTGCGGGCATGGGACATCCACGAGGCAAGCATTCGGTACAACGTTAGGCCATGTTTGGACGGGGACGGGCTTCGGTCCGAAGGGGACCCTAGCGCCAGAAGCGGTGCAAGTATCGTCGGTGTCCCCTCGAAGTGTCTCTAGATAGGGGTTAGCATACTTCCCTAACGCCAAACGACTCCGCCGTATGCCTGACCGACGGACATCCATACCGTGATCAGTTCTTCAATCAGCTTGAACTTGGATGGATCCTCGCTGCTTTCCGTTATGATTCGTTGCAACAGAGACTCATAAGACTGGACCCTCGCTTGGACGGATGCCAGGGCACACTTTTGTCGTTCTCGTTTTGACCCCACATACGTACAAGGGATAGCCAAGTGACGACATTGTTTGCATTGAGGCTTCTGGCCGTCACATTTGGTCTTCCTCTGATGACAGGGGGCACACGCCCGGCTGGTGCGTGGGCGGTGAGTTGTGACGGGGGCGGTACCTAAGCGCGGAATCCGGATCTTAGGGTTCCCCATGCTAGAGGGCTGGATTACGTCGGAAGATGGTTCTGTGCTGGGCGCGCCCAAGCGCGACACCGCACCGTCGGTGGGATCACTCAACATCCTAGTGTTCGTAGTACTCGACCTTTAGAGCGCAGAGGAGAATAGCCATCCATTGATAGTCAGTCCCGTCTTGTTGTAGAGCCCATAGAGCGGGAATGGCCCGAAATAAGGGTCTTTAATGCGGTGACGCCATAAAGTGGGCAAGGCTGATTGAACGGGGCGCTAGAACATGAGAGGAGGAAAGGAGAAGTTTTCCGGTCTTAACGGAGGCTGCCATCAGTGGATGGAATGAATCGCATCAACGAAAACAGCGGTCACGTGGGAGTCCCGGGCCAATGAGACTGGTCCAGAACCGATGGGTCACGTGGAGTCGTGGCTTCGGTGGCTTGTCCACATGATGTCATCGTGGTCTGACATTTTGCCATCGTCTATAATGCTGAGCCTCTCGAATGTGCTGTGTATAAGGATTCGGAACCTCACGGTGGAACGGTGGACCTGCAGGATATCATATCTGAGAGGTCTGTGTGGCGTCCGGCGCACTCATCCCGCCGCCCCGAAGCCTAAACCCTATGACGATATAAAAATGCGCTATTCAATTAGGGTTAGTGACATTCGAGCTACGTAGCTAAAGATCGGATGTTTCCCGAGAGGTCTCACAGTGACCAGCAGTCCGTGGTCAGCCACAGACCCATTAGCACGCGGGGAGTAAGATGGTCTCCTTTTCTTCTTTTTTGTGGATCATCCAATGACTATCCAAGCTCCCTATCACATTCGCTGTTATTAATATTTTGCGGGTATAGTGATCCCTTCTTGGCCTACCCGGCCGCAGTTTATCCACTCCGTGAAAATATATATCGGTAATTGCGGACAATGCGATTGGAGTTTTCGCCAACACCGACGTCCGATTGTCGGGGAATATATTTGCTAGTGGATCGAAGTTATAACACTAGTTTCTTGTCCAATATATCCAGGATCGCAAGCTCTGTGTGGGAGTAGAGATGGAGATACCCATTGCTCCGAAAATCGGCGGAATGGGGAAGTAGGATCGGCTTAACGTTGTATAAACAAAACACACTTATAGAGACATGTTCTTGGAGACGTAGAGGATGAGACTACCTCGTGTTTACTATATTGCCGATCATACTGCGACGTCTTATCGGTCTCACAAATATGTCTCCTCTCCAGCAGTCCGCCCCTGATGCCGGAATCAAGAAAAGGGACGTTGGAGCGAGTAATCTTTTGCGTAACTGACCCAGCCCCATCATATCTATTGGTCTTTACCGCATCGTCTGACTGTTCCTGTAATCCAGTTGGCGCTAGCTTAAATATGTTCGAGTACGTTGTCACTTGTTCTGCAGTTCGTTGATATCGTATTGATTCCATTCAAGGGTCACCACACTTGGGCAGGTCAGTCTATGTCGGTTTCCTCCCTTACCAGATGTGCGTCTAACGAGAAATAGCCACTGGAGGTTATCAAGACCACAATGGCAGCCAATAGGTCGGATTCATTTATCACAGCCCTGAGACGCGTTTGGTCGCGAGGAGGAATTGCCGGTTGTATGCCGCCCTCACCGATCACGATACACGAGCGTTCATACCACTGACCCCCTCCGATAAATTGAGTAGATTACCAAGGCCTAATTCCATGGGCCTGGATTGAGGCATCCACTAAAGGCGCTGTTCTGCTCTTTGTGGCCTCCGAAGTCGAGTATCATTCGCGGACGGCTGGTGCCTCCGAATTCCTGTCCGGCATCGCAGGAGGCATGGTCGGTGGTGCGGCTCAGGCGTACGCAACGGTCGGGTTCTGTACCTGTATGAAGACAGCGGAGATTACTCGACTGAAGCAAGCAGCAGCCGGGCTGAAACCACCGGGTGCCCTAGAGACATTTGTTACGATGTTTCGGACGGAGGGATTGCGAGGAATCAATAAAGGAGTCAATGCGGTAGCAATTCGGCAAGTCACCAATTGGGGGTCTCGGTTTGGCTTCTCCCGACTAGTTGAGGACGCAATCCGTAGAGCCACGGATAAAGGGCGCGAGGAGCGACTGGGCGTCGTGGAGAAGATATTTGCCTCGGGCGTTGGAGGCGCTCTGGCTAGCTGGAACCAGCCCATCGAGGTAATTCGGGTAGAGATGCAGAGCCTAAAGGCCGATCCCAACCGCCCCACAAAGCTCAGTATTGGGAGCACCTTCCGGTACATATATGCGCAAAGTGGGATACGGGGGCTGTACCGCGGAGTCACGCCACGCATTGGCCTAGGAATCTGGCAGACCGTGTGCATGGTGGCGCTTGGAGACGTGTAAGTCCGACTCCCTTGAATAGAAGAGTGCCTCTCGCTAATGAATATAGGGCCAAGGAAATGATCGAATCTATAACTCAAAAGCATACCTGATATTGAGTACATACTGGGGTTGGAAATGTTGAGTCGGGGCCGAACCTTTGCAGAAAACAGTGTTTAGAGTAAAGTTAACAAGAAAATAAAAGAAAAGCATAACTTCAGCAGCCTCTGCCACCTCTTCTATCCTAAATGCCCGAGCTCTTTCGTAGTGCTCTGGTACACATCAGCAAGAACACTTGGCATGTCTCATTCAATCTCTTCAGCCATTTTCTTTCCTTCAATCTCTTCCATAATGCTATCACCAATAGGGAGGGTTCTGGACATCTTGACGGCGGACATAATAGATGGGGCGTCGTGGAAGATCTGATTGACTTCTTCAAGGGATCGATTCATTGTCTCCGGGTAGAAGAGATAAACTACAGGCGGGATAAGACCGCCAATGACAGTAAATACGATGTAGTAGCGGTAGCCAATGTCGGCGATTGCGGTAGGAGTAATCATTGCAACGACAAACATCCTAGTCCGGTGAACCAGATTAGCATTCTCATCCTCTCAGTAATAGAACATTGATGCTTACCATAGCCACTGATTCGCTATCGAAAAGGAATGCATGGCGACTCGCAGACGAACCGGGGCAACCTCCGCCGGGTAAACAAAGTTCGCTCCCAAGAATCCCACCGGAAGGAAGAAGTTGTACACGAAAATAAACAGAGCCGAGACAATGGACGCAGTATGGTTGTTTGAGAATGAGTTGGACACTGTCAGTGCCAGCATGCACATGGACATGCCACCACCACTGATCATAAACGCAGCCCGGCGTCCGATTCGGTCCACGACATAGAAGCCGACAAAGCAACAGAGGAATTTCCATGTCAGAGCGCATGCGGCAAGAACCTTCGACAAACTGGCGCCTAGGTGTAAATTATCCTCGAATATGATGGGGATGTAGACTGAAATGAGAGTACCGCCGGTCATCTGCTGGAAGAATTGTAGGAGAATACAGAGAAGGAATCTGTAGAAGAGCTTCTCCTCCCCCATTGTGAAGATGTCTTTCAGTCCCATGTTCCCACTTGATGATTCCTCCAGGGAGACTTCAATTCCACGCAATTCGTGCATAATCTCAGGCGATACCACATCCTTCTGTCTCAAATTGGCAAGGGTCTGCTGTGCAGCATCTGATCTATTCTTGAGAACAAGCCAGCGAGGAGATTCTGGTAGGAAGAATATGCTACCCATGATAGTCAAAGAGAACAGCGCTGGGATTGCCAGCGACCCTCGCCATGACGCGGACCTTTCCTGCATATGATAGAAACCAAAGTTGATCCACTGTGTCATGGCAAAACCAAAGGCGATAAACATGCCTGTCAACACAACATTTCTCCCTCTCTTATCCGCCGGTGAGCACTCCGACTGCCAGACCGGCACTGTAGCGCTCAGCATACCCACACCCCAACCGAGAATTACCCGGCCGACTGTGAACTGTGCGAGAGCATAAGCCGAGCATTCTAATGCCTGGCCGATCAAAGCAATACACGCCCCAGCAAAGATAGTCCGACGCCGACCGAGGATGTCGCCAATCCACGTACAAATCAGGGACCCAAAGAGAGCACCAAGGGTGTAAGAAGCAACCACGGCGCCTTGCACTGTAGCGTTGTGGGATTTCTGAGCGCCAGTGGTATTGACTGTGTCAATCCCAGGGAACTGCCTTACCCACGAAGGGAAGTCTGTCAAGCCTCCGACACCGGATTGATTGTAACCGAAGAGAATGAACGAAGGGCACACGATCAAGAAGATCTGGGCAAAACGAAGTGCCTCGCCCTGCATCATGACTTATTTTTCCCGTTTCGATTCTGAGTCAATTGTGTCCGACGGAAGGGGACAATTATGAGGTGAAGAGTAAAGAAATAAAAGGGGCACAAGCTACTAACGTCTCTCGGTTCTCTACCGCCTTCATGGAGCCATAAGCCATGAAGGTATAACGGCCGAGGCGAGAAGGGTGCCATTAACTCCGAGGAAGTGGAGGGGCATTCCGTCCTCCGGGCCTTCTGTAGGCTACTACTGCTGGAAATCTCGCACAGGATCCTGCGAGACCCGCTGAGGTGGGAGGTCTTGATCACCAGACATTGGAAAAATGCAACTTGGCAGGGAAAGTATGAAATGCTTGTCGTGCTTGTCTTCAAACCCTCCAATGACCATGTCTGAACCCGGGACCAAACCCACTCGAAGTGGAGAGTCGACAAATGCTTAGCATTGCCAATGCGCGATTGGCTTGCTGTGGACGCCTTGACGCAAGGATGACACCCGTATGCTCTGGTCTATGAGGCATTAAATGTAGCCGAAACCGAGTGCGCGTTGCAAGGCCGACAGGACAGGTGATCAACGTGAGGGCTGACGCGATGAGCCGATACCGATCCGGGTCGGCCTTATTGCTATCGGGCAATTGACTTATCATCCGGAGAATGAAGAATGCTCATACATAGACCGAACCGAGAGATCCAGTTGCCAGTCTGTTGTCCCTACGGAGTGCGTGACCCGATTCCGGGGACTTTGAGACTCTCCGCATGCGACACCCCACGGGCTCCACTCACCAAACCTGGCCACCGGGGTAGCTCAGCTCAAGTAATGGAGAAGGTCTGCCGTCCTCGGAATCTCACCGAGCGGCTGAGAAACGGATTTTGGCCGACGCAAGCGGACCGAGCCAATCATTGGATGTGTGATATTAACCATGGTTGCGTACCGTAAACGAATGGTACATATCGTTTATTGCTGTGTGGACTAAATGCTGGATAGCTGGCAGCGCTAACGGAGATTTATCCGAGATGGAAGCACAGACACACTTGTCTTGTGAGATGGATTCAACACAAAGGTTGGACTTGAACGGACTGTCTAAAAAGATGACCACTACTTTTGCATCGTTTGTCTGCCCGGCACGTGGCTGCCAACGATTGTTGCCTGAAAATAAGGCCTCTTCCGATAGCTCCGCCCGCATTCAAAACCCGCGAGGATCAGCAGTAATGCTATTCTGGACTCTATGTACTCAGTGAACTACGTACGACTGGTGCTTCGGTGAATCAAATTAATTGTATCTACTAGCTTTTATTTACGCAAATTCCATTCACACTGACTAGTATTGGCCGTGACTCGCCATTTCACTGCATTCGCCTCCGAATAATTGCACAACACACCGGCACACTCCTTAAGGCGTCTTTTTGTTGCGCTGCCGAATGACATGTCCATACTTATAGAAAATATACGGCACAGGCGTCATTAGGACCGAAATACATCCCAACAATGTGAGGGACCAATGTACGCCCAAATTTCCATACATCGGAATCGACACGATGACCATCGCGCCAGCAGCGATATAACGGAAGAAAGTTGCACTCACTAAGGCACTGGCTGCGAAGAGTTCATACGTGTCAATGAGGTACTGATATGTGGAAATAAAGATCCCTTGGACCGAGAATCCGAAAGCCACTGAGGCCACTAGCGGCGACCAGTACGAGATAGACGGATAGCTGGTCCAGCCCATCCAGAAAAGAGAGATTGGTAGCCAGGGCGCTCCGTACATAGCGAACCAAAGTCGCTCTTCCGGCGGCAACCCATTGTGTCCATTTTCAATCGCATTCAGGAGCCGCTTTTTGTATGAGAAGTAGATATGCGGCACCATGGCAAAGGCGATGAGGAATCCTATGTTCATGCCGATGAATGTCAGGCCCACAGACCCTTGGGTGAACCCATATGTCCTACCAAAGATGAACTCATAGCCCGTCAGGAACCCGAATAAGACGATGTAGACCACGACCAGATACATGGTAAAGAGTGCTACCATTATCTCCCGGAAGAATAAATGGAAGGGGCGGGAGCAGCTGTGCATCAACCGAGTCACAAGCGACGTCTGGCGAAGCTCAATCTCTGCCATAAACCGCTGGTCACCAGTTATCTCCCGAAGGTGTTTCGCCTTCCACTGCAATAGCACAGGACCATAAGTTTCTGGAACGAACAGGAAGATAGCACCGGTCACTAACGCAGCCATGATCAGCGTAGCCCATTCGGTCCAGCGCCAGCTGATGTGCGTGCTTTGGCCAATGAAAGCTCCAACCATTGGAGCCAAGAACGGGCCCAGGAAGGACAACGTGCAACAAACTGGAAAGGCATATGTGCGGTCCATAGGGTCAAAGATATCCGCCATACTGCCGCCAAAGGTTGTCATCGGTGTACACCCGAACAATCCGGCTAAAAAGCGGAAAGCAAGCTGAGCCCCGAAGTTTGGAGCCAGACCCGATGCCATTGTGAAAATCATAAGAATGGAAAGCGTCGCTATGTAGACTGGATTCCGCCCAACAGTCTCGGAAAAGGGTGCTGCTACCAAAGATCCGAAGCCGAATGCGATCAGGAACAGCGCGGTTGCGAGAGATTCGGCAACCTCGCTGACTCCGAACGCCTCCTGCCCTTGTTTAATCACAGTGGAGTCGATGGATGAAGCCCATCCAACAAGCATACCCGTTGTGCCGACAATGCCCAATGTCGCCCATTTCCTCCCTATAGACCAGTTTTTGGGATTGAGCTTGTCGTCTGGGCCATCAAACCCGACAATGAATAGTGTTTTTGTGTTGACACGCTCACAGATTTCGGATGCGCGGCGGAGGTTCACTCCAGGAACAGTCACTTTCTGGCCGTCGTGGAGAACGATTCCGGGCGTGGAGTATGGCGATTGGCCGTGACCGTCCATTGAATGAATGCCTTTTTCCAATCTGGCATCATCGGCATCCTCCAAGATATCATCAGTCGGCTGTACGTGACGATCGCCAGCAGCGGCATACGGACCGTGCAGCTTAATGCTCTTTTGCAGGTCTCTGCGCATGCTTCGGTATTGGCGAAAAGACTGCATCGTTGCGAGGCGCTCAAGACACACACCACAAAATAAAAAAGAAATTAGGAGAAAGGAATCAATCAAGCGACATCTGCTCAAATGTTTTCACTCCTCGGCTAGACTAAATGTGCTCTTTTCAGAGTATTTATTTCTAGTGGTGCTTCCATTGCGTCAACCCGAA